AAAAAAATGGGATGTAAGGGAGCAATCAACACTTAAGCTCTTAATGTCAACCTAAGCTACCTGAGACTACCTAAAACAACTGACCCTGGCATCGTTTAATAGACGAACTCTGAGACTTGATGAGTACCTAGCACAGTTGGAAGCGGAGCTAGAGAACATAAGATGGCATGTTCTGGGGCTATGCGAAGTCCGAAGTGAGGTAGAGGATGTATATATATATATATATATATATATATATACATATACCCATGACTCGGCCATTTTCTGTACTTCCGCGAAGTTGATCAACCATCCCAGGGTGGCGTAGAAATCCTCATCAACAGGGCCCTCTCTAGCAACGTTGGAGAGATCTCTAGTGTGTCGACCAGGGTAGCGTACCTTATACATCGGCTATCAAAAAGGTATAGCTTGAAGATTGTACAGGTCTACGCGCCGACCTCGACACATTTTGATGACGAAGCGGAAGTATGTACGAGCACATGTCAAGAGCCTTACACAACATCACCAAGGCCCACTTCAACGTTGTTATGGGAGACTTTAACTCTAAAGTGGGACTTCACAGTCTCAACGAATCTCGAATAGGCCCACATGGTTATGGTATGGAAGTAGGGGGCAGATGCTGATAAACTTCCTCGAGAGGGAGGGGCTCTTCTTTATGAACTCGTTCTCGGCAATAGAACGAAACCGAGGGTCCAAAGTGTTCACTCAGCAGCTTGGAAGGAGCCACCTGACGAAGCTTACAACACACGATGGTCGAACCATAACGTCGAAGCCGGATATTCTCGCCGAGATAGAGAACTTCTATGGCCGGTTATGCGCTGCATATGTTCCTCGTACCCTACACCACAACCACGATCACAGAGCCGCCTTGATGTGCCACAATACCAACGACCTACCAGATATCAGCCAAGACGAGATCGTATTGGCTCTAAAACAGTTCAAAAATGGAAAAACCCGGAGTTACTTCAGAACTTCTGAAATACGGAGGAGTTCCAGTCATCAGGAACTAAAGAACCTGTTTAATTCCGTCATTCAATGTAGGAGAACTTCTAAAACTGGAACAGGAGTATTGTAATTCTCTTTTTCAAAAAAGGAGACAAATCTTTACTTTAAAACTACAGACCCATCTCACTCCTGCGCCACGTATATAAGCTGTTCTAGAGTCATTACGGATCGTCTCGCCAGAAGACTCAACGACTTTCAGCCACCAGGACAGGCCGGGTTTCGACGGAGATACGGCACCATACATACAGTGAGGCAGATTATACAGAAGTCAGAAGAGTATAATCGGCCCTAGTCTCTAGCCTTTGTGGACTATGAGAAGGCTTTTGATTCTATCGAAAGCTGGACTGTCTTGGATTGCTTGCAGCGATGCCAAGTGGACTATGGTTACATCGAAGTGCTGAGATGTCTGTATTACGCCGCCACTATGAGTGTCCAAGTACATGACCAGCAACCGGTCTTTATCCCATCCAATTACGCAGAGGAGTGAGACAGGGCGATGTCATATCCTCGAAACTGTTCACAACTGCATTGGAAGATATGTTTAAGACGCTGGACTGGAAAAGTATGGGCATTAACATACGGCAAGTATATCTCACACTTACGATTTGCAGATGACATAGTCCTAATGGCGGAGCTATAACAGATGCTGGACGGCCTAGCATCCGCCTTGCGACGTATTGGTCTCGGCATGAACTTGGATAAGACCAAAGTCATGATCAATGATCACAGTGATCCGAGACCCATAGTCGTAAATGGCCACCTTCTTGAAGTTGTTTCCGAATACACTTACCTCGGGCAGATTTTGCAGTTAGGGAGAAATAATTTCGAGAATGAAGCCAGGAGGAGAATTCAGCTAGGATGGGCAGCGTTTGGGAAGCTATGTCGAGTCTTCTCGTCACACATAGCACAAAATCTGAAAACAAAGATTTTCAACCAGTGCGTCCTGCCTATTACGATTTACGGAGCCGAGACGTGGACACCAATTTAGAGTCGGTCAGCGCGCTGTGGAACTGGCTATGCTCGGAGTTTCTCTGAAGGATAAAATTGGTAATGAGGTTATCCGACAGAGAACCAAGGTCACCGACATAGCTCGTACAATAAGCAAGCTGAAGTGGCAATGGCCATATATGTCGAAGAACCGATAAGCGATGGGGAAAACGAGTTCTAGAGTGGAGACCGCGACTCGGCAAACGTAGTGTAGGACGCCCTACGGCCAGGTGGAGTGACGACCTGCGAAAGGTTGCTGGCGGGAAACGGATGTAACAATCTAAGGACCGGGCGAACGCACATTGTGAGGGAGGCTATGTCCAGCAATGGACTGCAATAGGCTGATGATGGTGTCAAGAAAATAAAAAAGGAATCATTGTACGGTCTTTACTACCATTATGTAAACCAAGAACACATGAACAGTTTTGAGGCAAATTTACTATGCATTTCGTAGCAGTGTTTCGACTTACATTTTTAATAATTAACAATATATAGATGAATAATATACTTTAGAGCACAGATACCTAAGACTATCTTGAGTCAAATATTAGTAAGAGATACTCTCATTTCCAATGAACAAATACATATAAAGAAACTACCTTTTAGTCTTTTTACACATATACCATTTAATCATCATTATTATCTGCAAGTTGTATAATAAATATGTACGTATACCAATATTTTATATACTTATACCTAATCGTATAAGACAGAATACAGTTACATGCATTTATTTATTTATTTATTGATGTTGTATATAAGTAATGAATTTCAAAATGAGTCTTCACTTGGACTATTCACTGAAATGATAAAATAATATTGACGTTTATTTAGTAAACATTAGAAAAACTGCATCAAACGTTCTTGGGAATTATTTACATTACAATTTCGTTACGTGTATAAATATTAATGCACGTGACTGTACATAAGGCGTATAATAATAACATATCACAATACATATTGTTATACTTTGATTGTAGACTCTATAGAATTACCTTAACAACATAAGGATGTACCATAAGCTTTCGATTCCTTATGTTTACGCGATCCGAGTACGAATCGGAACCGAATGACTATTTTTCGCAAGTCACGTCTCAGTTCGAGCTTATCTCGAGTACGGATGGTGATAATAAGTGATACCGCGTAATGTCGATAGTGTAGCTATAAAATACTGGATGTGGCACATTTACAGATTCGAATAATTCTTTTTTGTTTTTCTCAAAACAACAAAGTTTTTTCTTCATTGTACGTCAAGCTATAAAAAGATTACTAACTAGAATATCATTATGAATGGGGTAATTTATAATTAATATTAACAACACTGGTACTATTGGAATATTGAAACTTTATTGATATATTTTGTTAATAATTTAATTATTATAATTTTTATACGTGTTAATTGGATTTATTTAACACTTTACAATGCCACAGCGTTTAACGGTTAATATAGAAATGATTTTTTTTCCGATCACCGTCTATATTTTTTTTTCAGACAAACGACACGACTGATATGTCTGTACAAAGTCCGAAACAATGGTTTGCTTGGAAAAAAAAAACAACAAGCGTTGCAAAAAAAAACTGGAAAAAAAACAGTATTTTTATTATGAGATTAGGTCAATATTTTTTGTGGTGTTATGCAACCGACTAATCCATTAAAAATTAAAATCACTTGTGATTTGTTGGCGAATAGGGAACGGAGTTTCATTAAGTTACAATCGTTCCTATTACCTACTTATCATGAGATTCAAATGAAATGAAATTAAATTAAATCTGTTTGATTTTCGCAAAATTATAGTGTACAATAACTCCTTACAACTTGTACTTGGAATTTGTACCAACTTCATGTATTGCAAAATGAGAGACAATTCATATTAATTGATTTACTCAGAACAATGTAACTGCCGATAATTGAATAAAATCTGTGGTTAATAACAAACCCGCACGCACTGTTCGAACACGTGTTTCGGGAAAGCTGTTAATAGTGAGGTGTTTATATCCAGTTTGTTTTATTGTTTAAAAATACTCGTATACTTGTAACAAAATTACCATTTCTACCAAATATAAATTGTTTAGTAAATGCAACGCACAGGTTTTGAATTTATTATAATTAATATTTGTTTTCGTAGTTAATTACCACTGCCTTCGTGACCGAGCGGTTACCATGCTAGTCTGCCAGAGGTTTCGATTCCCGGGCCGGGAGAAATATTTGTAAGGCCTACTTTTATGTTTTTCGTGAGTTTGGGTGTAATTTGTGGATGTCATGTATGTGTCCATGGCACCCGCGACATAGTGCTCCATAGTGCGGGGCTATGAGTGTGTGCATTAAAAAAATTATCTTAAGTAATAATACTCATATACAAAATCTAAATAAAACAGTTACTAACTCTACGAAAAATACAAAATGACAAATATGTTTAAAAAGTAAGCTTTCACTCAAACATAATCACAATGTAAATTTACTAGGTACCTATCATTTTGAAACGCAACACTAGGAACTTACATTGCGTGCGATGACAACATCAATTGGAATTATCTTATTATCATTGATGACGCATCCAGCATGTTGAATATCATAGTACAGGAGCATTCACGAAGCGTCCTTTCAGAGTCAATATCAATAAATGGAAAGTTGGGAAATTGGATGTGTTTCGGCTCGTTGGGGCCGGAGCTTCAACACGGTTCGTAATAAGATAGTAATGACCTGGATGATACTCGTAAAAATATGGTCTGCTCCCGGTCTATGACTAAATATTTAACCGGTACAAGTACGATCGATGCTTTGTAGGTTTATTGATTTCTCATCATTTTTTTATTTATACCTCTATAATAATCAGTAAAAGTTATTTTATCTCATTGTACTTATATTTCTTCAATAGTTAGGTACTTGGAATTTTTGGTATTTGCTATCAATGCTTTAAGAAAATCAATGCTAATTTGTGGCTCCATGACTTTTCTACCCACGTTTATGTGGATAGAAAAGTTTAGCAAAATACAAAATTGGCACCTACCGGGAGCTCATATCCGCTGTGTGCGATTCTATCTCCAAGATTCCTGAAACAAAAGATGCTCTCGTTAGTTTTCCCAAACAATCAAAGAAGCAATTTGCAAGGCAGCTAGCTTAATTGTATAGAGAGGGTTGCATCAGCCTATGAAGATTGATTTGACATTGACACGGCGGCGCATGCGTGTCGTCCCAATTCGGTGCAAGCGACAAGAGATAGACATATGCAAATTTACTCGAGTGTGAAAGAGACGAATATAGATACACGGGTCTGTGTGAGACAGGTCGCTAACATGGCCGACGGGATATTGCAACTGCATTCCAAAATATTTTGCTGCAGAGTGTATTCTGTTCAAAAATTCAGCTCAGCATTTATGTAACGAGATATTGTTATCTTCAGGAGGAAATTGAATTCGTATTGCAATCTTCGTAAAAAATGACAGGAAATACAAAAAACTGTTTGTTTATTTTAATTTATTTCGGTATTCGTACTTTTTCACCTTTGAAATAACCTCCGAATAAAAAGGAGTTAATGAATAATTAATTTCAACAGGCAATAGAGACAACACATGTATAAAATACGTAAATATCATAACTTTGAAGCCTTTTGATTTGAAAATGTAAAAATATAACTGAAATAAACAACAATATATAATAATAAGGACTTTAATTTGGAACAACACTGGAACAAAAGCATTTGCACTAAACGCTCGGCTAATCGCTTCAATTTAGCGTAAGTAAATAAAAGTTTAAACAGATTAAACTCGGTAACGAGGGCCGGCGCGGGGTGTTCAGAGGCGCGGGAAAGGCACAATTATCTCGTCCTATTTTCCCTTCTAATTTTACGTTAGGTCCGCCCTTAGACTAGGGATGCACGATTTTTACTTCGAATAGATTTTTTGGATCGTAATGGATCATATGCCTGAAGAGATATCGTAAACTACCGTTTCAAAAGTAATTTCGATAAAAAAAATTACAGCCTTTTTGCCTTCAGCGGTTACGACTTTCATTAGTGATAGTAACCAGCGACAATCCCCAAATATTATAGACTTATTGTACTTAGATGTTGCCAAGCTGCTTTTTTTACAGACCAATATAAAAAAGGGATTCAGAAAGAAAATGTTTTGTTTCAATTATGAATACGATCAAAATTATTCGATCCGCCATAATGTTCGATCGATTTACTTAAAATCGCATTAAAATGAATCGAAACAAAAAATTGCTAGATCGTATACCTACACTTGAATCGATCTTCGTAAAAATCGAATCGTATTGTATATTCCAACCTTAGTCATCGAACGAATGGACAGAATAAAAATTGCAAAAAATTTGAAAACAATGTTTTTTTCAAACTGTTGATTTAATTATTTGTAATTTTATAAGTCTTATGATTGCTTTTAATCAACATAAAATTGTAAACTTCTAATGAAAAGCTTACCTGAAACTTAAGAAAACTTTAATATTAATGCAATCTGTCGAACTTGATGGGTATCATTTTTGTGACGGGTTTTTTAATAGTAGCTACAGTGACACTCAGAGCTTTCAACCGCAAAGATATGAGGGACACTGCCACTGCGCTTGTCACCCCGAAACATAAGTTGACAAGTACCATGTGCCTCTAATGTCACCAGTACCCTTACCCTTCAAAACCGGAACACAGTAATGCTGACAATACTGCTTGGCGGCAGAAATGGGGAAGGTGGCAGTACTTCCCTGGATGAACTCTTTCACTAGGAACTCTACTGCTACGTTATTTGGTTTTATTCAAACTGTACTCAACTAGTTCCAACATGTCTTACAAATTTATCTATCCAAAACATATGCAAATCTCAGCCCCTGTCATTTCAGCAGTCTCCTGAGACGAGTTACGACGGAACATTACAAGCAACATTGCCCTACAAATAAACAAGATTATTAAGAGAAGGGTGAAAAATCTCCTGATCGATGTTCCCTCAGACGAAGTTGAAAATTATAATCTACAGCGCGAGAGAATTAAATTTACATACGAATAGGCCGACAGAACGTTTCTAGGGAAAGGCTGATATCTCAAAGTATATATATTTGTTTTTGTTGATCTTTTGTATTGTTAGAGTAGCAAAGTCTATATAAATTATACCTATGTATTACTAGTGAGGCAGATTGAATACCAATTTTAATACTTATGTTACGTTAAGTTGAAATTTTTGTTGAATTGGTAACTGTGCAGTACAACCTCGGCAATTTGATTAATCGGGCATTATTAAAACAAACCGGTCATTATGAATAATGACCAAG